CAGCCAAATAAAAACTCAGTTGGGCTTCCCGGGGACAGACCTTGGAGAACAGAAAGGTTCAGTGACATTCTTCAGAGAGGGTCACTGTATTCCAGTGAGGGCTGGTGGAATGACAAGGAAATGAGGCCAAGTGGGTACCGGTTTTGCCTCTGGAATAGCTAGACTGGGACAGGCCTGTCTCACATAGTTTACAGCAATGAAGTCCGGTACTTTGAAGGTACTTTAGTCTCCACTGAAACGTGTCTTTTCCACCCTTTGCTCTGTTTCCTTCTTTCTCTTTTCGGAAATTAAGGATCTCTACAGTGAGAATTGTTTTCCAGAGAATCTCCACCTCTTTTCTACTCTTTCCTGTAATTGTAGCCTCTTTCTGATTTCTGTGCTCAACAATTTATTAACTACTCACTAGAGATCGTCTATGCATGAGATATTCTCTATGTTGTTCCTAATGTGACTGGAGTTTCTTTATTATATTTCCTACTGATTTTGCAGCAAATATGACTCACTGATAGCACTTATATTTCTATATTGATATTATTATTGTTTCACCTTAGTATCCACAATTTTACCTACAAATAATATAATTATTTCTGATGCTCGGTACTCAGGTGAATTTGCATTCCTTATCTTACCCATCTCTTTAAATGTTCAGCAGAATATCAAATGATTGAAGTTGGAGTTGACTACATTGGTCTGTTCATGAATTTAACACATATGTTATAGTGAGTTAATGTAAGATATTCTGTTGTCTGCAGTTTTAAAACAGCTGTTCTTTTTTACAAATTGCCATTGGTTTCCTCATTTAGCAAGAGGAAACCAATTATATGATGAGCTTGAAGATTTCTCTTTTGTGTTATAGTTGACACTTTGGCCTCAAATTTTATTATCTGTCTAACACGGGTACCTACTGTGTGCCAGGCACCAGATAGGTCCCTGAAACAACAATGGTGAGCAGAAATAATTACAACTTCTAACCCACAAATGAACATAAAATTACAACAACGAGAGGCACTTGAAGGAATAGTACATGGAGCTCAAACTGTGGGCCTTGCCCACTCTGTCCCTCCCGACCCCCATTATCTGTTCTCCATCTCACTGGTCTCTCAAATCCCTTCTGTTACCAAGCTCAGCGACCCAAGTGCAACTGATTATTCTGTTCTCTTAACCCCAAATGCTTGCCCTTTTAAAATTTCTCCTCATTCACAATTACCCATCCTTCCTCTCTCAGCTCAAGAATTCATATTTCAGAGAACCCTTTTCTTTTATTACTATTTTTTAATTTTTTAAAAATTTATCTGTCTTTATTGTTGAGGATATTACAGATGCCCCCCATTCCTCCCCTCCATTGCCCTGCTCCACAAAGAAGTCTTTTCTACCAACCCCCCAGATTAAATAGGTCCTCAGTGATTTTTTTTCTCTCCTTAATTAACATTCTCTAGACGTTAGTAATAGAGAATCTTTTGTTTTATCGTTGAGAATGTAAACACTTTACTGTCTTTTTAAAATTAAATTTATTGGGATTACCTTGGTTAATAACATTGCATAAGTTCAGGTGCAAGGATTTATATAAACACATCATCTGTGTGTCCATCGTGTGCTCCCCACCCAGAGGCCAGTCTCCATCCATCGCCCTACGCTTGGCCCTTCACCCGCCACCCTCCCCGCCCCCTCCCCTTGTCACCACCATTCTGTCGTCTGGGTCTGTGAGTTTGTCTTGTTTGCTCATTTGTTGATTTCAGTTTTCTATCCGACGTATGAGTGAAATCAGGTGATTCTTGTTCTTTTCCGTCTTATTTCCCTCAGCATGATGCTCTCAGGGTCCATCCATGTTGTCCAAACGGCAGCATTTCGTCCTTTTAGTGGCTGAGTAATATTCCATAGTGTACATGCACCACATCTTCTCTACCCAATCACCCGTTAAAGGACACTTAGGTTGTTTCCATGTCTTGGTTATTGTGAATAATGCTGCAATAAACATGAGGGTACATACATGTATCTTTTTACAAATAAGTGCTTTCAAAATTTTTACGTAGATATCCAGAAGAGGAATTACTGGGTGATAAAGTAATCTATTCTTAATTTTTTGATGAACCTTCCTACTGTTTTCCACAGAGGCTGCACCAATTTTCATTCCCACTAGGGTTCCCTTTTCTCCACATTCTCTCAAAAACTTATTTGTTGTCTTATTGCTAATAGCCATTGTAACAGGTATGAGGTGGTATCTCATTGTGGATTTTATTTGCATTTCCCGTATACCTAGTGAGGTTGAGCATTTTTTCATAGGTCTGTTGACCATCTGTATGTCTTCTTGGGAAAGTGTCTGTTTGGGTTCTCTGCCTATTTTTTAATTGAAATTTTTGTTTTCTTGTTGTTGAGTTCTATGAGTTCTTTACATATTTTTTATATTAGCTCCTTATTGGAAGTATTGTTTGCAAATATCTTCTCCCATTTGGCTTGTTGCCTTTTTATTTTCAAATCTTAAATTTGTCTTTCAGTTTTTTAAATGATTTCATGTATAGACACTTTGAATATTTTAAATAAAATATATTAATTTTTTTCAGTTCATGCCACTGATTTTAATACAACACACTGACACTTGAGAGCAGGTACACATACGCACATGCCCACACACCTGCTTTCTGTTTTATTGTAATGGTAGTGTGCTTCTGTTTCCCCCTATTATTTATGTAGTCAATGTGCATCTTCCTGTTCTTGGAAGAACCCACTTGGCAGGAAGTCTCTGAAAGGGGGAGCCATAAGGATCTTCATTAATTGGAAGTGCTGGGTGGTGATAAAAAACAAACAAACAGGCCTCTTGTGTTTATAATGATGGCTGCTCCTGATTAAGATAAATACAAAAATGATGACCATGCAAGACAGATTTATGGTGATGTTAAGAACAGAAGTTAACTTTTATCATGTCTACTATATGCCATAGGAACTACACTAGAAATATTATATGCATAATCTCATTTAATCACTCATCTGTCCTACAATGTAGGGAATATTCACTACTCCCATGGTGGAGGTGCGGTATCAGCAGCTAAATGAGATTAAATAACTTCATCAAGGTCACAGAGGTGTGACAGGGTGGACCAAATTCTATTCCAGGAAGTCTGACTCAACATCCTCCTTTCTAAATCACAGCTCTATACTGTACTTTGGAGGAGTTATATGTCAAAAATAATTGTAATGAAAAGAATAGACCAATAATGATAATAGCCATAATTTATTGAGATCTTACTGTGATTAAAGGCATTTTCATACCTCACAAAGATGGTAATAGCAGTAACCACATTTTTAGAAAGAAACACAATAAGGTACATGGAGAGTTAACTGTGACATCAATATAAAGCATCAGGTCACAGAATTAAGGCTGTTTAAGTTGAAGTCACATATTTTACTATTATGAAAGTGGTATTGAGATTATCAAAGAAAATACTTCAAATGTCTTCAGTTCTTTTGGAAGGCTTGTATAAAAGAAATTGGTTTATGTCCATAGCTTACAATAAGAGAATTAGAACCTTTGAATTGAAGATAAAAAGAAAAAGATTTCTGCTAAATCAAAGAAAGTCTGAATAATTACACAATTTAAAATAAAATTGGGTTACCATTTAAATGAGTGTATCACTGGCATTGGAATGACTACTGGGTCATGAAAGAGGTCCATGCAAAGGTGGTATCAAAAAGTGGTGACTGAGATGCCATTCAGCTGTTTACTAAATGTTGCTTTTTCCTCCTTGTTTAGAATACACACCAGCTGCATGGACGCAGAAAACCACACAGCAGTGTCCGAATTCCTCCTCCTGGGTCTCTTGGATGATCCTAAACTGCAGCCCCTCTTCTGTGGAGTGTTTCTGTCCATGTACCTGGTCACTGTGCTGGGAAACCTGCTCATCATGCTGGCCATCAGCTCTGACTCCCGCCTCCACACCCCCATGTACTTCTTCTTGTCCAACCTGTCCTTTGTTGACATCTGCTTCACCTCCACCACCGTCCCAAAGATGCTGGTGAACATCCAGGCACAGAGCAAAGCCATCTCCTACATTGGGTGCCTCACTCAGGTGTATTTTTTTACAGTTTTTGCTGGAATGGACAACTTTCTCCTGACCCTGATGGCCTATGACCGGTATGTGGCCATCTGCCACCCCCTGCACTACACAGTCATCATGAACCCCCGGCTCTGTGGCTCCCTGGTTCTGATGTCTTGGTTCATAATTTTCTGGGTCTCCCTGGTTCATATTCTACTAATGAGGTGGCTAACCTTCAGTATAGACACTGAAATTCCACATTTTTTCTGTGAACTGGCTCAGATTCTCAAGGTGGCCTGCTCTGACACACTCATCAATAACATCTTCTTGTATGTGACTACTTCTCTACTGGGTGTGTTTCCTCTCACTGGGATTCTCTTTTCTTACTGTAAGATTGTCTCCTCTTTAATGAGAATGTCCTCTGCAGTGGGAAAATATAAAGCATTTTCCACCTGTGGGTCTCACCTCTCCGTGGTCTCCTTGTTCTATGGGACAGGCCTGGGGGTCTACCTCAGCTCTGCTCTGACCCATTCTACCCTACAAAACTCAGTTGCCTCAGTTGTGTACACTGTGGTCACCCCCATGCTGAACCCCTTCATCTACAGCCTGAGGAACAAGGATGTGAAGGGGGCGTTGGGAAGGCTCCTCAACCGAGCAGCTTCTTGTCCATGATGGATCACTGGCCTCAGAACTAAGTGTACACTGTGGGCCCCAAAGGTGAATGTTGCTAATTTAAGTATGCGGTTCCTTTTCTCCCATAAAAGACAGGCTTGATTTCTTCTATTTCCACATATCATTTCTCTTTGTTTGTATTTGTATTTGTTTCTTCTCAGCTACTTCCTCTGAAATTCCTTTTTGACTTTTCTTCCCTAGATGCTGTCCACAGTGTTCCATGTTTGGCCAGCGTTCTTGAGCTATTGTTAAGGTTTGTAACTTTAAATTTAAAGCACTTATCGTATCAAGTGCTGATTTAGTTTCCCAAAATGTTGTCCTCATACCTTCCTCATCTTCACCTTAATTTTGTTGTATGCTTATTTTTTTCCAGAAGAGTGGAATAAAAATCATACAGTAATCAGAAGAAAGTGTTTAAAATATCAGGACTCTACTTGTTTCTTCTCATGAGTGACTTAATTTCATCTTAAAAACATTTATTTGAGATATTTCCTCTCATTCACTTCACTTTTCAAAAGAAGAGGCTGAGATTGAGTTGGACTATAGCCAAGCAAGCTGAATTTGCTCTCCTACCTTTCACAAGAACAGTGATGTGATTTTCAGCTTCAATCTAGATTTGAAAGATGGTTCCTTCAGATGACCTACAGGAATTTACTCCCTCAGAAACTGAGATGTGTCATGCTTTGTGATCCTTTCCCCATCCATCTTCCTTCCTTTCCTTTTTAATTTCACATACATTTCCCGTTATTGCAATTTTGAGATATACCCGCTAAGATTCAAAACCATGTAATAATGAATACAGTAGAATAAGACTTCTTTTCTCACATTATTTAATTTTTTTCTGGAACTCTGTGGTGGTACATCAAGAATAATGGTGACACATTTGTGGAACATGTTTAGAACTTAATTCACTTTGGGGGAAGCAGTAATCAAAAACCTCCCAACAAACGAAAGTCCTAGTCCAACTGACTTCACAGGTGAATTTTACCAAACATTCAAAGAAGAACTAACACCTATCTTTTTCAAACTATTCCAAAAGATGCAAGAAGAGGGAAGGTTTTCAAGCTCATTTTATGAAATGAACATTATCTTAATTCCAAAACCAGATAAAGACAATACAAAGAAAGAAAATTATAGCCAATATCCCTGGTGAACATAGATGCTAAAATTTTCAACAAAATAGAACCAAACCTAACCCAGCAATACATTAAAATGTTCATGTACCATGATCAAGTGGGACTTATTCCAGGGATGCAAGCCTGGTACAATATCTGCAAATCAATAAATGTGATACAAAATGAGGTATAAAAAGCACATGATCATATCAATAGGTACAGAAAATAACATTTGATAAAATACAACACTCATTTATGATAAAAACTCTGAGCAAAGAGGGAATAGAGGGACTATACCTCAACACAATAAAGGCCATAGATGACAAATCCACAGCCAAAATCATGCTCAACAGACAAAAACTAAAAGTGTTTCCCTTAAGATCAGGAACAAGGGAAGGATGTCCACTTTCACCACTCTTATTCAACCTAGTACTGGAAATCCTAGTCCCAGCAATCAGGCAAGTAGAAGAAATAAAAGGTATATTAATTAGGGGGGGGGAACCACAAGTAACACTGCCATTATTTGCCGATGACTTGATACTATATATACAGAACCCTAAAGATTCCACCAAAAAAAAAAAAGCTACTAGAACTGATAAATACAGTAAATTAGTAAGACACAAAATAAATATCCAGAAATCAGTTGCATTTTTATACACCAATAATGAACTATCAGAAAGGAAAACTAAGAAAACAACCCCATTTATAATGGCATCACAAAAATAAAACAAAATCCCTAGGAATAAATTTAACCAAGGATGGAAAAGACCTGTACTCAGAAAATTATAAGACACTGAAGACATCGAAGAAGATACCAATGAGTGGAAGTATACACCATGTTCATGGACGAGAAGGATTAACATCACTAAAATGTCCATACTACCAAAAGCAATCTATAAATTCAACACAATTCCTATCAAGATACCAATGGCATATTTCACAGAACTAGAACAAATATTTCAAAAATTTATATGGAACCACAAAGGACCATGAACAGCAACAGTGATCTTCAGAAAGAGGAACAAAGTTAAAGGAATCACACTACCTGATATCAAACTATACTACAAGGCCATAGTAACTAAAATACCATGGAACTGGCATAAAAAGAGACATAAAGATCAATGGAACAGAATAAAGAGTCCAGAAGTAAGCTCATGCCTTTATGGTCAATTAATATTTGGCAAAGAAGGCAAGAACATACAACAGAATAAAGACAGTCAATAAATGGTGCTGGGAAAATTGGACGGATATGGGCAAAAAAATGAAACTAGACCACTTTCTTACACCACGCACAGAATAAACTCAAAATGGATTAAAGAGTTTAATGTCAGACTCAAAATCACAAAAATCTTAGGAAAAAACATAGGTAGTAAAGTCTTTGACATTACTCAGAGCAATATTTTTTCTGATATATCTCCTCGGGCAAGGGAAACAAGAGAAAAAATAAACAAAAGAGACAACATCAAACTAAAAAGTTTTTGCACAGCCAAGGACACCATCAAGAAAATGAAAAGAAAACCCACTAAATGGGAGAACATATTCGCCAATGATACATCTGATAAGAGTTCATATCCAAAATTTATAGACAACTTATACAACTCAATACCAAAAAAAGCAAACAATCCAATTGAAAAATGGGCAGAGGACCTGAATAGGCACTTCTCCAAAGAGCACATACAGATGGCCAATAGGCAAGAAAAGATGCTCAAGGTCACTAATCATCAGGCAAATGCAAATCAAAACCACGAGATATCACCTCACACCTGTCAGAATGGCTGTCATGAATAAATCATCAAGCAGTAAGTGTTGGGGAAGATGTGGAGAAAGGGGAACCCTCGTGCACGGATGGTGGGAATACAGACTGGTGCAACCACTGTGGAAAGCAGCGTAGTTACCTCAAAACATTAAAAATGGAGCTGCCTTATGGCCGAGTGGTTCCACTTCTGGGAATGTATTTGAACACTGATTCAAAAGATTCTATGCACCCCTGTGTTCACTGCAGCTTTATTTACAGTAGCCAAGACTTGGTAGCAGCCCACCTGCCTATTATGAAATGAGCGGATGAAAAAGCAGTGGCACATTTACACAATGAAATACTACTCAGGGGGAATCTTACCTCTTGTGACGTCATGGATGGACCTGGAGAGTATTTTATTTAGTTATTTTTTTCTTTTTTTGTTGTTTTTATAATTTTCTTTGTACCTGGAGAGTATTATGTTAACTGAAATAGGCCAGTCAGAGAAAGACAAGTGCCACATGATTTCACTTATATGTGGAACGTAATGAACAAAATAAACTAACAAACAAAATAAAAACAAACTCAGAGATACAAAGAACAGACTAGAGGGGAAGGAGGTCAGGGGGTTGCGTAAAAAGGTGAAGCGATTAAGAAAAAAGCCCCTCACAGACACGGACAACAGTATGGTGATTCCCAGAGGGAAAGAAGGGATGAGGGGAGGTGGAAGAGGGTAGAAGGTCCTGGGATGAATGGTGATGGCAGGACACTTGACTTTGGGTAGTGAACACACAATGTAATATACAGATGATGTATTATAGAATTGTACACCTGAAACCTAAATAATTTTATTAACCAATGTCACTCCCATAAACTCAACTAAAAACAAAAAAAGACAAGTTGACTGCAGCCTTACATTTAGAACACAGATGTATGTGAACCCCGCTCTAGAATTTAAGAAAATTATCAATTGGGTATGTCAGAACTGGGGATTACCTAATGTAACAACACACATAAATTCTACGGAAAAAGTGGAACTTTGGCTATCTTTCAAAATAACAGAAGAAAAACCACATGTCTTAACACATACAATCCGAAACCCCAAAGCAGGACTATACAATAAAAAAGAGGGTATTTCTCCTTAGAGACATAAATATTAAATCAGAAAATAGAAACTATATCATATTCTTAATATAGAGGGCGTAATTATCCCTACATAGACTGAATTATCCCTACAATTCAGTGAATGTGCAGACATACAAGTTACACATTACTTTTTTCAACTGAAAAAAGAATTGCTTGAATCTATAAACTTCCTGCAACTTGGAAGTGAAGCGGGGAGTGCAGCGGCCGTTCTCCCGAGAAAGGGAGGCCCAGCCCTCCGAAAGGAC